GCAGCACTTTAGAATCTGTCTATCATCGGAAGATATGCCCCCCGTCCGAGATTTCAATCACCTTGTCTTGTTCATCTCGTCATGGAATGATGACTCGTTGCTCAGGTCTTGAATAGGGTTTCCCAGACTTGTAATCATGTCTCTCAGGAGATTCTGATTTCCCGTGCCCCCAATCATGCTCAACATGTCCAAGACGGGATCGTAAGTCTTCTTCTAAGCGGGTGAAAGCCAATGCCTTTGCTTGGACATCTTCGAAGGATCGAAGAGGGTATTTCGTCAGTTCACGGTACAGCTCTGAATCGTCGATCAAACCTCTTCGGAATGCCTCAATTGCCGTTGGTATGTCACACCTTGGAATCGACACTTTTTCTTTGTTGAAACGATGAAGATAATCCCTCAACGATTCGCCTCGTCGCTGAACAACTCTGTATAGATCACTTGTTTGTTTCTCCAAAACGCGACTACTTGCGAATTGCTGGTTAAACAAGTCGACGAGCTCAGCAAATGAATTGATAGCCTCATTTGGCAAGTTGACGAACCAGGTTAAGGCCGGTCCTGAAAGTGTCGCTCCAAATCCTATGCACATGCATGCTTCCCTTTGGTCTGGTCGAAGTGATACGGCCAGCATGTGTTGTTTGTATTGGGCAACATGTTCCACCGGGTCGGACGTACCATCGAACATCTTCATGGAAGGGGCGACGAACTTCCTGGGTATCTCGACTTCAGTAATCCGTCTGCTGAATGGAGACTCTGCGTAACACGTTCTCGATGCTCTGTCCAAGGGTGGGGGTACCCATGGCAATCCGTTGATCTTATCTTGCATCTGACGCATTTGTTCCATCATCATGGACATTTGATCTGCTATGACCGGGTGAATTGACAATGGAGTCGAAGTCGCTGGTCCGACCATTTGGGTGACTTCAGGTCGGGTCGGTGACGGAATGAATATTATCTCAGGGCGCCGTTCAGGTAATGTCGGCGCTGATGTAATGACAGGTCTGCCAAGGCGTTGCGTCTGAGGTTCCAGAAATGACACACTAGGCCCGTTACGTCTGGCATCCTGCATGAAGCTTGACGGATCAGCGTCTCCGTAAGTTTTGCTTTGGTAACGAGGAACCGACGGTTCCGTCGGGACATGAGTCGCACCAGTTGACGGATTAGAGTTGGACGGACCGGGATTTCCACAGGTTGTGCTCCTATAGTGGGGAATTGATGGCTCCGTCGGAGTGAAGGACAGAGTCGTCGTAGGCATACTTTGGGTTACTGAATATAGGTCCGATCCGTTTGATATGAATCGAAGAGGTGCCGGGAACAAGCAAACCGGGGTGTTGGCTGACGGAGTGGTTGCTGGCACGAGGGGCGTGTAGGGATTGACTTGCGAGATGACCGTTGAGTATGGCTCTCCGGTTGGCGTTGGTGACAGACCCAACGTAAGAGACACTGGATCCGTCGATGTTACTGGTGGATCCGTCGCTGGTGGGGAGAAACCGAGACCTAACCTTGTCGCTTCTGTGATCGTGTCACTCCTACGATTGAGCCTCGAATTCGAGACTATTGACACCGCGGATTGTACCTGGGATCGAAGTACATCGTTTTCTCGTTGAAGATGTTCCATCTTCTCCGCCACTTCACGGCGGAATTCCTCCCGGATCGTTTCCAGCTGCTCATGGAATTCAATCAACAATTGATTTGTTCCTGCCATATCTGAACTCTTTCTTGCACGATGCCCCACGGTGGGCGCCAAATTGTTTAAGCAAAATATTGATAAGCTAAAACTAATTAAAAAGGAATTCGTATAAAGAAAGGGCTTCGAACAAGAATAGAGAAGGAGATGACAAGAGAGTGAACAAGAAGGAAAACTTGAGTATTATTCGAATGTTTCAGCTGCCTTGATTACAATGAGGCTATTCTATTTATAGGAAAAGCAATTAAAGCTCTAATGATGGTTTTTTCCGTTATTGACGGATTGGCCATCCGTTACGTACCGACGGATTCAAATCCGTCATAAAGGCTGGTCAAACACATTTAATACCCTCCTTAATAACATTAAGGAGCCTAATAATGTACAAAAAACGTTACAATATTTAAAAATGATATTCTTGACGCTTCAATGACTCAATTTGTCTGTTTTGGCGGTTTGACGTAACGGTTCCGACCCGTCGTCGGTTTCGCAACTCGTCATCAATGTTGGCCAGCTCAAAAATAAGTAACCTCCAGCCTTAATATCGTTGATAACTCCAGCAATAAACACAAATCCGTTACAATAGCCATCATTAAGCCTCTTTAACTTTTGTGATCAACTCTCTTTAATGCAAAATATATTGCCAAATAATTGCACTAACAACACCCAACTACAGTTACAATCAGGTCGACAGTCGACACCAGACCAGATTTCACCTTCAAGTATGCGGTGGCCATGGTGGTGTTTACGCCGCGAAATTCATCTGCAACAACCTACTCAAAGATTTATCAAGTAATGTTCTCTTTTACGTGGCATTTATTTATGAACATATTAATTTCTATGTTTCCTTCATTGAAAAGTAATCAATTCGGAATTAAGAAAAGAAGGAACACATAGACAGAAGGTTTATTGGTTATATCATTGGTGAGAAGGGCATCGAGAGTGAGAAAATGACAAATGAATCATGTTGTCTGGTTCGATTGATCTAGAAATTGATATTACTGGTGCTAATAAAATAACCAAGGAAATCTATGCTGATTATTTAACCTATAAACCCATTGCCTCTTCTATTCTGGTTTGGCTTCAATTGAAATCTCTGCATTATGTTTTTTGAAAAAGTGTTTATGATTTTAAGGGCAACATTCAGTAATGCTTGTCCAGACAGTTTATAGGCTTTTTGCTAATTTGTGAATCATAAGGACAATTCAAGAGTCTGTTTCCGGCCTAATTCACAAGTAATATCATAAGATTGTTAGGCCAATATCACAACATTAGAGTCTCTACGACTCTACTCATACGATATAGTGGGTAAGGAGAAATCCATATATTTGAGAACATAGTTGCAAGTAAGTAATCTCCAAAACTGATTTTAGTCTTTTCCCCATTTTCGTGCAAATATTAGTTTGCTGATTGAACTTTCATTAACTTGGTTAACTCTTCAGTCTTCACTTAAATATTCTTATGACCCTAATATATTAAATGAAAAATTGACAAGAATAATCTCACCTTTCACTGCTCTTCTCATAGTAATCCCACCTTTACGTAATCCCAGAATAATCTCACATTTGCACCTCATCTTCTTTCATTGGACCTTGATCAGTTTTTTTACACTTTCTTTGAAAATCATATAAATAATCTCACCTTTTTCTTTTTTATTATATCTTTATAAATGTGATATTATTTATATAAGAATTTCAAAGAAAGCTAAAAAACCTGGTCAGGGTCTAACAAAAGAAGATGGGGTGCAAAGGTGAGATTATGTTGGGATTATGTAAAGGTGAGATTATTATGAGAATACCAGTGAAATGTGGGATTACTCTTGTCATTTTTTCCTATATTAAATCACAGGGTTCATCAATCTTCACAAAACCGACATTCTTGATGTCAATGGAGCAACAAAACTTCATGAAAGTGTAATGGTTCAATATACTTTGGGAGTGTTTTTATCTCTAAAACATTACTGGTCATCATGGAGTTAGCCCATATGTAAAATTATCCAAGGATTAGTCATGCCACTTAAGCCAACATTTAAAATCGTATTTTACAATTATGACTTTTTCCATGTTTCCATGCATGCATTTAGCATAATTCAATTGTGATCTTTAGCCTTCATATAATGTTCTAATAAGTGTCATGATGTGGCAAACAAAGAATTACTCGAAATGACATAACCTATTGCAAATGCTACAAAGTAAATGTAAGATCATTATGTCATACGTTACCTTGATAAGTACTCCCAGGGGAAAATGGAAGTCATACCCTTTTGGAAAGAATAATAGTCTTTCTCAGTGATAGGTAACAGAACAATGTGTCAATAAGAATAAAAGACATACATGCATGCAGAGAACGCCGTACGTGTAAAAGAAAAAGAAAACAAAAGCAATAGTTAATTTAAACTAAGGAAATTAGACTTGGCTGGATATTCGTTGGACAAAACGCAAAAGCGAAGTCGGCTATTGGACAACCATGACTTTGAATTGGTATTGGCGTATTGCCCTTCAGTTTCAGGTGCAACTAACCACCAGTCATTCGGATGAGTGGGACTTTTGGCTAGCAACGCTGAATTGAAGCGATGATCAAAATGAGGCAAAGCTTCAGGTAGAAGTGATGTGCTCCAGACTTTTGGCTTTTTTTTTGCAGAGGCATAAGTAGTGCAGGTTGGGGATACCATTAATCCATTATAGAAGCAGAGATTTGATTTTGTAATTCATATACTTGTATGTCCATGTTTATGTGTACACATATTGAATTACTGTGACCGTGTGATGTCAATAATCATTATCACCGCCACAACCATCTTGATCCAATGTAATTTGTATTGGTTGTAACATTGAATTTCATATGTATATATCCTTTAACCATTTTGAAATATCGTTGGGCATTTCTCTTTCGCGCATCGCGTGTCGTATTACTAGTATTGAATATAAGATCGAGTTTAATATAAGTTTAATATTGAGTGTCGTGATCTCTGTTTTTTCAGATTCACTTCCATTTTTTATTTTTTATTTTATGAGAACTTATTAAATTATATCTATAATTAATTGATATAAATTTTAATATGTGAATCTAATCTAATGTGGTGCTTTTAAAATATGCAATGATATGACATTTTCAAAATGAGCATGATATTAGTATCAAATGAGCATATGTAACTTACAAAATGAACATTGATATGAAAATAGTAAGTTTTGTCAGTTGAGCATCAATACATTTTCATTAAACATCAAAACTCATCTATTGAGTATTAGAACCATCAATCGTGCAATTGAGTATCTATAATTCACTCATATGTGAATCTAATGTAATATGATATACTGCTGGGTCTAGAAACTCGCAGGGCGTCCCGGTACCGGTGCATACTGTTGGCATACTGCACACTTCCGAGTGTGGTTGAAACAATCTCGTTGTATGGTGGGCCAGTAATATCCTTGCAGGATGATCTTCCGGGCTAGGGTCCGCGACCCTTGATGACTCAAGCAGATTCCTTCATGAATTTCCTCCAGGACTGCGACGGCTAGGCTTGGCGTGAGACATTTTAAGTAGGCCCCCCCGAACGTCTTCTTGTAGAGTATAGTTGTCCATCGATGAGCTCGAAGTTGGGAGCCTTTCTTTTGATCCAGGCTGCTTTCCCGGTGCTGCCATCAGCTGGGGGCTCGGGGGAGAGTCCCATCTCTAAGATAGTCTGCGATCTCGTTCAACCAGGTAGGCTTGGCGAAGGAAACAACCTCTACTAATATCGTCTCTGTGGCCGGCTGTAGGAGCGTCTCTTGTCTTACAAACCCCCTGACATGCTGGGGGACGAACGTCGCCAAGTCATCTGTTGGAGGATTGCCGAGTTTGGATAATATATCGGTCTCGGCATTCTCCACCCGAGATACCTGGTTGATGATCACCTGCTCGAATTGTGCAGTCTGCTCCTCCGCCAATTCTTTGTACATCTTCATTCTCTCTTCCCGGGTTTCAGCCGTCCCATTCATTTGGGTGACTACCAGCTGGCTGTCCATTCTGACCTTCAGACGAGCTGCTCCGAGGGCCCTCGCGCATTTTAGTCCTGCGATGAGCACTTCGTACTCAGCCTCGTTGTTGGTCACTTTGAACTCAAACTTCATAGAGTAGTATGCCTTGAAACCTTCGGGAGAGGTAATCACCGCTCCTCCGCCACAACCCCGCGCACTTGAGGCTCCATCGGTGTACATCTCCCACCAATTGTCGAAGTCGTCAGTGTCCTGGGAGCTGTCCTCGGTGCGCGCAGTGCATTCTGCTATGAAATCCGCTAATGCTTGACCCTTGATCGTTGGCCTTGGCTTGAAGTCTACGTTGTATTGGCCGATCATCAAGGACCACTTAGTAATCCTTCCGCTTGCCATAGGATTCCTGAGGATTGTGGCGAGAGGCTGTGTGGTGTAGACTGTGATTGGATGGGCTTGGAAATACGGCGCCAAACGCTTGATGGATGCTATCAGTGCGAGGACCGTCTTCTCCATCAGAGTGACCTAGTTTCTGGGCCGTTCAGCGCCTTGCTTACGAAGTATATCGGCCGATGGACGTCCCCATCCTCCTTTAGTAGCACAGAGCTCACTGCCAGGTCCGCTACCGCTAAGTACATGTACAGTTGTTCCCCTGGATCCGCCTTTGTGAGGACGAGCGGAGAGGTAATTCTTGAAATCTTCAAAGGCCGTCTGGCACTCTGCGGTCCTTTCAAAGGGATTTGCCTTCTTCATGATCTGAAAGAAAAGGATCGCCTTATCCGTCAGCTTGGACATGAAACGGCTCAGTGCTGCCAGGCGTCCAGTTAATCTCTGTACGTCTGTAACACCCCCATTTTCCCTCCCAAAATAATACTTGAAAGAATAGATTTATTGATAATAACTTGATTTATTCTTTCAAACAGATAAAAAGTTTTGCAGCGGAAATAACATTAATTGGGAAATGGGTGTTACCGCCACATCCGGTCATCTCTTAACCGAATGCACAGGCAATCACCAAACAAAGTAAAACAAGTGTTCAACATAATTGGATTGTTTATTTATGACTAGGTTTGACTAAGGCATTTCTAAACCGCTCTCGTGGTCATACAATCATCAGTCCACATAAGCATCATCACCTGCACAAATAAAGTGCAGAAAACAAAACAAAGAAAAGGAAACAAAAATTAGCTTTAGAGCTAAGTAAGTACTACCCAACCCCGTAAAATAATCAGGTTTGGCTAAAAATAGTTTTTCATATAATACTATATAAAAATGACACACTCCACCAAAATTCTTTTCTCTTTGATATTTCTCAAAATCACTTCTTTAATAAAGTCCTCAACTTTTCTTTGAAAATACTATAGTAACTCTTCTCTTATAATTTCTCAAAATTCACTTCTTCTCTATCTTCCTAGTAATTTAGAAGGGCGGTGCTCAACACTCTGGTTAAGCCCGGTGGTTACGTTGTTATGTACGGCCACCCCGGGACTTTTGCCGGTACCACAACTGCTAATGGAAACGAAACGACTACCTTAAGTGTGCACACCCCCTAAAAGGGATTCCAAGCCCTCCGAGTAGTAAGTCGTCACGAGTAATCGGGACTCAGTCTACCAACTACCCCACCTTTAAAATTCTTGAATGATTAGGGACTACTACCACCATAACTTCTTCTTAAAAGGGATCATAGATCCAAATGTCACTTCAAACTCAAATTGTACTTCTTAGTAGTAGCAGCCTTAATCACCCTCCACATTTATCCGGATGTGGAAAACCGACACCACGGATTTCTCCCGGGTGCTCACTTCTTATAAAAACGTAAATTTTATCTTGACTTTAGATATACTTTCAAAAATATTTCTCAGTCTCTCTAAATAGTCTCAAAGGTATTTAAAAATATTTAATACCCCAAAAGTACTTAATTAATTTGTATTTCTCAACTACCATATATATAATATCTCCTCAAAATCACATACACATAATTCAAAATTCACACTTAATCACATAATGCATAATAAGCATATAATACGAGGAAAACATTTTGGATCGGCAGAGAAACTTACCTGAATTGGTGACGTTCTTAGTTCACTTCTTCTAACTTGGTCTCTAAATAATCACCTTTTAATTAATATTTCAAAATCAGTCCCTTATTACATAACTTACCCAATTTACCCAGTTTCTATAATTTTTAATTTACTTAACACCGTACCATTTGTTAATTTATTCCATCTTTAGTCTTGACTAATAATTTAATAGATGCACTCTATTTAGTCTATTCCACTAATTACTTCATCTATAAATATTCATTTACGAGACCCGTTTAAGTATATAACTAGCCTTTTATTATTTTAATACTTCATCTCAAATTTCTACTTAATAATCAATGTATGAGATTAAGACTTAATAACGTTTGTTAATTCATTATAATCTAGTGTTATTAATTTTATTCACAAATAATCAATCCATATAATTCATTAATCATTAACCAAACCTTTGCTATTAGTTATTATGGCTTTGGTTAATCTGATTTAAGGTGGTCCAAATAATCCATATTAAATATTAATAATTAGCCCGGTCGTATCACTTAGTCAATTTATTGTTTTGGTCACTTACTAGTCCGTTAACTTAATTCAATTCATCTTATTTTACCTTATATAATCATCCTAATTAAATAATGACAATTTTAGTAAAAGCGAATATTACCAACATATTCCATATTAAGATTCTCCTTCCCAGTTATTTCTATTATCATTATCACTTTTATCCCTATCATCATTATAATTACTATTTATTATTATCATTGTTATCAAAAGTAAATAACCAAATTAAAAGAGATAGATAGATGGTTACTGCATGCAGGAATAGTCTTCTTCGTCGGAACAAGGAGCAGGGACGTCCGATGTTTGCTGTCGTTTCTTTGACCGGTGACAGACAACAACGACTCTGGCGATCAAAGGCTGCGGCCTTGTCGTCTCCTACGGCAAGGATGAGGTCCGACAGTCCGGCGAAACAAGTGGGTCTCTTCTCCGGCGAGTTGTCCCTTTCCCTCCGGCGTCCAGTGGCGTCCCGCGGTGCTTTTTCACGCTCCCGACGAGCATCGTTTTCATGGTGATCTAATGGGGGTTCGACCCGTAGCTACGCAGCCACCCCGATATTCCACTCCCTTTTTCACTCTTTAGTTCGTATGTGTTCATATACATACGTACAGATATATAGACTTCATATATGAATGTATATTTTTACTTTTATTCAAGCAAATGAATTATACGGAGTATAAATAGTATAGGAGGTTTTGGCCTCATTTCAAGCAAATGAATGTATCTTCTAATCTAACTCTCTCCACGTTGCCTCGTTTCATTTCAGCCGAAGGTTTTGGCCTCTTCCAATCAACTTGAACATGCCCATGTGGATACGTATGGTAGTAGCTGTGTGTGATATATTATTAATGTACTATGTCTATATCATGGCTTCTCTATATTATTGTTGTACCTTATATTATTGCATGTGTAATATACTATTGGTAATACGGCTAGATTATTATTATATGTAGTACTCTTTATTAGACTTGAAAAGTCAACTCTTTAAACATTTATTTTTGTATGATGATACTTGGTGTATTGTTGTACACATATTATTAAATTGTTGAAATGTCAATTTTATTATTTATGTCATATGTATAACTATGACCTCTTACAAAACATTACTTATAACACCTGAATTAATATTTATTTTTACCCACTTTGTCACATATTTTATCTGACATTTTTTTTTATTCGTTTATTTCTTTTATTTTTGTTTAAATTTTCAGGGTATCACATTCTACCCTCCTTAAAAGATGATTCGTCCCGAATCATAAGCTAAGAAATTACCCACAATTACAATTTTCAGGTATCACATGTTAGTTAATATTAATATTTATTTTTTAAGGAGTATCACAACGTCCTTCAGGCTCTTTGGGGCTTCCATGTCTACGATGACCTTCACCTTCTCAGGGTTGGGTTCAATCCCTCGCTCACGCATCACGTAACCGAGGAACTTACCGCCCCTGACAGCAAAAGCACATTTCTTCGGGTTGAGCCTCATGTTAGCCCCTCCATTATGGTGAATACCCTCTCCATGTCCTGGATGTGGTCCTCCTTTTTCTTGCTTTTAATCAGAATGTCGTCTACGTATGCTTCCATGGTCTTTCCCAGCACGTCCTTGAACAACATTCCGATCATCCTATGAAAGGCGGCCATGGTCTAACTGACGTGCACTTTGTCGTGAGTGCACTCAAAATAAATTCAACACTAGCACTTATACGTAGTATATGTGAAGTAGAGTTCGTATCCACAGGGAAAGGAATAACTTTCTTTTTATATAAATAGTAAGTAAAGGGGGGTTTTGATTGTTGAGTGATTTAATTAATTTAAACACGAAGATGAACGAGTTATATGGGATTTAATTCAAAGATAAAAGTGACTTGGCATTGCTACTTTCCACTTGTTGATATATTTTAGTCGATCATTGTTATATCTATAACTTATCTCCTCTCGAATACTCAATCGAGGAGTATATCCAATTCATCGAGGATAGTTATTAACAACAACCGTTCATTAATAACCCTTACTATTAGTCAAGTATAGAACAACGCCATATACCGACTTGATAGTAGCATTTAATCTTTTAACTCCTTGATGAAATCAATTGAGATTGATAACCTCAACACAATGGTTTCGGTTTAACCAACAAAATTAATCCCTCTTAAGTTTATTAACCATGACCGTGCATTAATAAACCGAAGTTACTTACTTGTGAAACTATCAACGATTAACCATCGGTTCGTTGATCGTTTCTAGTAATAATTAATATGTGAAACAAAATTAGTTGATCCTTTAAGTAATGTTCAAAATATTAATATGAAATATGAATAGGAATTAATTAATACTCAAGGAAGAATATTAAAGGGAATGAATCCTACTATAGTTAAATATCAAGATGTTAACTAATTGTCATCTTAGTAACACTCCCCGACATTAACATAGAGGAAAGAATAGCTATTACTAAAACCAATGTCAAGATGTTAACTAATTGTCATCTTAGTAACACTCCCCAACATTGATATAGAAATAGTATTTAAAGGAAGAATTAATATTCAAGGAAAAGAAGTTAAGAAAATAACTCACAACTTTAATAATCAACAAGCTTCAAGAGCAATACCAAGAAATGGAAGTTTAGCTCCTCATTTGGAGACTAAACATGCTATAAGAAATATAGAGAAATGCTATTCTAAACTGAGCTTAAGAGTATCAAGGAATTGGTGTTTTTTAAAGTGAAGGAAAGGAGGTGTATTTATAGGCTTTTTGAGGTGCAGGCCGAGTACTCGATCGAGTATGTACATATACTCGATCGAGTATGTGTAGAACTTCGAATTCGATCCATACTCGATCGATATTCGGGTATATTTTATAGCTATACCCGATCGAGTATGTCGGTGTACTCGATCGGGTATGACAATAGAACGTGGCCAAATCTTTCCTTGCATGTTCATTTGTTCCCGAATCGGATCCTTGAAAATCAGTATTGGTACTCGATCGAGTATAAGGTGTACTCGATCGAGTATAGGTCAAAATCAGGAACTTTCCTTCTTTTTGTCTTGTACTCTTGCACCTTCCTTCACCATTGATCATTTGATTGATCTTGGACCTGTTTAAGCTCAGAATAAACCTAATCTAAACAAATTACAAGAATTTAACAAACTAAACTATTACACCGAAAGTGTGTAATTTCCGAAATATTAAACAATCAAAACTAACTAAAAACGTAAATAAACATACGGAAATTACAAACGTATCAACTCCCCCACACTTAGTTCTTTACTCGTCCTCGAGTAAAGTCAAATGTTTCAATCAGTTTAAGAACATTCCATGAGTTCAAGAAAGAAGGGAACTAAGATCACCAAGGAATAAAAATGATTTTACAAACAACATTCTTTCTTGGGTTTTATGATCTTCTATGCTCCATCTTCTTGCCTCTTCTTCCTCTTCTTCTCTTTTTCTCTCCTTCTCCTCTTTCTCCCAAAAGATCAAATGATTTCCTGCACACAACAAAAATTTCTCTCATATCTCTCATTTTGCCTAGGAGCCTTTTCAGGTTTTCATCCTAGCATCTCTTTTTGTTTTTCCATCCTTACTAACTCACTCATTTTTTTATAAGCCATTTTTGCTTAGATTGCCCATTCTTGGGTTTTCAACCTAACTAGCATTTCAATTCTTTTATTTATCCTTTTTTTTTTGTTTACAGGAAGAATTAAAAGAAATTCATGCATAGTAAAGTGTGAAAATAAAGATTACATACCATGATGAGTCTCCTCCCCCACACTTAGTTTAAGCACTGTCCCTAGTGCCCGCCTTCTCCGCCATAGTAACTGCCTCCAAAGCCGCCTCCATAGCTCCCGTCGCCCATGTGAGTATCGCCACCGTCATCCCCACCATCAAAACCTCCACCCCCGGAGCTAGATCCTCCAAAATTACCCCATTGAGTGGGGTCATACCAAGAGGGGGGTGGGGGTGGTTGAGCCATGGTATGGAATTGGCCTTGATGAGCCATGTAAGAGTACATAGGTCCATAGAACCTACGTTGATCTTCTTCATACCTTCGGTTGTCTTCGGCCCGTTGTTCCTCTAGTCTTTGGTATCCGGCTCTTTGTTCCTCCCGATACTTTCCAACTTCATTGGTGACTTTGTTGAACCCTTCAAGGAGTTGTTGGAAGTAATCGGGTGGCGGGAAAGCTTGGTTCTGTTCGGGCATGTGGTGAAGTGCATCCTCGGGTTCGTGTTGCTCGGGTTGAGGTTCTTGGTCGGGTTGATCTTCGGGGGGGTCTTGGGCTTGAGGTTCTTGGAGATGTGGTGGGAGGGCATGTGGGAATAGGAAATGGGGCACGTCGAACTCTGGTCTGTAGATGATTTTGGGGGTGTCGGGGTTCGGTAAAAGGAAGTATTGGACCGGTTGGACGTGTATGATCCAGTTGTACATGTGTTTTGGTTGGTCCCCAATATACACCGTATGAGAAAAGGAGGTGCATCCCGAGCGGCCTAACCAACCTATGTCGGGTATAGGAGAGTTATCCGTATACCCGAACTTACAGGCCAAGTGCATAATCACCCCTCCCAAAACAATGGCTCCTTTGGCTACGCTTTCTTTTTTCAGATGTGCCCACATGAGATTGCACAGATTAAAGTCTACGTGACGACGGAATAAAGCCACAGACATCAAACACACGTCCCCAATCCTCGTGTGGTGGTTGTTGGGGCGTCCAAGCAAACAATTTGCTAAAACTTTCAAGAATAACCGGAGGACGGGGTGTTGGACATGACTAATATACATTTGGGAGGAGTTAAAGTTCACTTCCCCGGTCATCTTTGTCCATAGGGAGTGCCCAAAAATGGTGGTATCCGAGATGGCTCTCTCGTAGGGCACGGGGATGCCAAAATGTTCAGCAAACTCGAGTTTCGTTATTGAATGGTTTCGGTTAAACAGACTAAACTCGATTCTATCATCCCTAAAATCCGCCTCATCACTTTCAAACTTTACCGAACTCATGAATTCGTAGATAATTCGTTCATTAGAATTGTATTTCATATTGAAAATACGGTCCATATCTAATGCATGAAAGAATTTTCTACAACTCTTATAGACTCCTAATTCTCGTAGAGCATCATGGCATAGAAAACGGGAAGGTTTTACTTGCCTTTTTGTTGTTGATAGGAGTCTAGTTCGGTGTTCGGCGTCGGCGGGAGTGATGTCTTCAAAACCCGGGATGGGTGCTATGGTTCTTGAGCTCTCTCCCCTATTCTTCCTTGGTGCCATTGTTGATGAATTTGAGCTTGAAATCCAAAAAATTCGAATGGGGGTAGGTTTTTTTTGGATTTGTTGGATATTTGGGGAAAAGGGGATTTTTGGGTATAGATATGGAGAGGAGGGTGAGGGGAGTATTTTGGTGGTGGAATGGGTTGATTTGGTGAAGTATTGAGTGAGATATGGTAGAGAGAAGGTTGAAAAATGGAGTTTGGGGGGGGGGGGGTTCGAAGTGGGGATGAGATATTTGGAGAAGATGAAGTGTTTTTGGGTGTTGTTTGGGTATTAATCGCAGGGGTACCCGATCGAGTATCC